GCCCTCTGCAACCGCGCTTCCTGGACGGCTGAGAAAGGCCAAGTGTCTGGATAGAACATCTGTCCACCCGCAACAGCCAGAGCCGGCCGTCCCTCTGCCCCATCTCCCGACTTGGCTCCACGGACACGGAGCCTGCTCCAAGATGCTCCTGTGGTTGCAAAAGCATCCTCACTGCAGGGGACCAGAGCAGAGCCGGTCCCTCTCCCCAAGGAGCTGCGGGGGGGATACTTTGGTGGGGAGCAGGGATTCCTGGGCAGCATCCATCTCAGGCCAGCATCCTTGGGCAGGTGCCTGCAGAAGGGAAGCAGCGCCGGAGCGGCTGCCTTTGGGAAAGGCAGGGAGAAGGCGAGGGGTGGGTGAAGAATAAATATATAGCAGCCAGCTGGTGAGCTGTGGAGTCAGCACAAGGTCTGGAGAACGCGGCGGCTGGCAGCAGCGAGGGAGCCCTGGTATTTCAGACAGCTGGTACAGCAAGGTCAGCCCGGCCAAAGCAAAAGGCCCCTTTGCTGTTCCCCCACACTGGGGTTGAAGGACGGACACCCCCGTTTGGAGACCCCAAAGGGGAAAAGCTACCTATGAATGACACTGAAACAACGGGTGAGGATGAGGAGGGAGGGAGCGCGGCTGGGGACAGACCAAATGCTCCCTGACCTCATCGGCAGGAAAAAGCAAGCGGCACATTTCCCTCGTGTTGTTTCTTTGTTTGCCATCTGGGAACACGATCCCGCAGGAGGCCGTGCCCCGAGACATGAAGTCATATCATGATTATATTGCCACCTCCGTGCCGGGATTGAGATCTCATCCGAAAATGCCAGACCCAGCCGGTGTCAGCCTGCGGAGGAAGCTTGCTTTGCTGAAAGGCAATGGAAGCCTCGCTAAAAACATCTTTACATAGACATATGCTACAAACCAAAACAGGTTTATCCCAATAAAGTTGGCTCAAAATACCTTGGCCTGATTTTGCTCTGTATCTGCTAGAATTAGCGATGGCAAAAACGGGCACGAGCACAGATAGAACCGCAGAAGCCAACCCAAGCTGGAAGCCAAAAAAACTGGGATGAGCGAGACCAGTTCTGCTTTTCCCTTAGGTTTAAGGAACAAGTGGAAGCCCAATGCAGCCCATTCCACCCCTATGCAGCCTGTACATGAAGCCAGGGCTGGGGACATGCAGAGGAGCCATCAGCAACCACCCAAAACACTGCCAGTCACCAGAAGGGTCTTGGTTTGCTCCAAAAGGAACAGAAGATGAGAACAAGCCAGAGGTCCTGCCTGCCCGGCCACAACCCAGGACCCTTCCTGCACAGGTTTATGATCTCTCCTGCTGTGACACATCCTAGTATCCGTATTCCCACTGGGAATTCAGCCTGGTGCAATGCGGGAGGAGGGTCAGATGTCACCTCCCACCTCCTGGGTTTGCTTTACGCAGCACCCAGGAGTTTCAGCTGCTGCTCAGCATCAGTGGGACAAGGCCTAGTTAAGAACACAAGAACTCTTTGATGTTGGCCCGAAACCCCATGAGTCTGTGCCCCCTGTCAGGCACAGCCCCATGCAACAAGACCCAGGTATCCCCCCATAAAGCGGGAAAGGGACATGGAATAAACCAGAGGATGCTGAGACACCAGCCTGAGGATGGAGATGGAGAGATGGCAGCAAGCTCTGGGTGCTCCCACCGAGTGGGATGGCAAATGCATCCAAAGCAAACCTGAACAGCTTTGCTTGAGTTATGGTGGGATTTGAGAGCTTTCCAACCTGAATACATTTGCAGAAAGTTGCATGGAGGGAAAAAATACCAACAAAACCCCCCCAAACCAACGGAGCTCACTTTTCCAGGTAGGTAACTGCAGCAAGAGCAGCGACAGGCAAAGATGGGATGAGTCAGAAAAGCAGGGAAGCTCTTCCCAGTGCTGGCAGAGAGAAAGGATTGAGCAAGCACAAACACGAGCCAGGTCAAGCACAATCAGCACTTGACCTTGGAACAGCAGTGACACAGACCTGTGCCCCTATTGAGAGGGCAGCAGAGCTTAATGGGTGACCGAAAGTCTTCAGCAGGTACCACTGGCCAGGAACATGGGTCAGCATCACTTCTGGGCACCGGCCAACCCTGGTGGTTTTATGGCCTATTCAATGCAACCAGCCTCAACACCTGCCCTGCTCACAACCACTGCCTGTCCTGCAGCACCATGGGAAAAGCAATTCCCACCTGGCAAAGGGGGCTCAACCACCAGGCAGGTCATCCACATCAGGAGGATGAGACATCATAGTGGTGGCAGCAGCCACCCCAAAGCCAGGAGACTGGAACCCATAGATCAGCATAGCCTCCCCCCCTTGCAAGGGGCACAGCTGGAAAGATGCATCCTAACAGTGCACATCTGCATGCCTTGGAGCGTACCAAAGGTGACAAGCCATTTGGTGAGCTACCAAAGCTCAGCATTACCATTATTTCTCAATGGGAAAAACCAATCCCACCCCACACAAGTCAACAACAGCAGGGTTTCTGTAGCACCCCCTCTGCCAGGCTGACCCTCCTGCAGCAGGTAGGATCACAGACGCCACAGAGCATCTCCTGCCCCACTGCTCCCCAACACTAAGCCAGCAGCAGAGGCACCATCCCACCCAAAATACCCAAATCTCCACTCTGATGACCCTCAGATGTGAGGTTCCCTTTTTATCTCCTCCAAGCTGTTATAGACAGGACCTGAGCCCCGTCCTGCTCTTCCTACTCTGCTAAGAGACGGGGTATGGGACTGCCTGGTGGCATTCGGCACATTTATCAGGTGCCTCAAACTTAAGCTACCTCAGGACAGCAGCAAACCACCAGTCCCATGTGCAGGGGGATGTCAATGCTGGGCATGGGGAAAAGCGCTTGTGTTCAATAAATGAAGTTGCAGAGATGCAAGGAGGAACAGGGAGATGGCTTTAACCCCTGGTCCCATCTGAAAGGGGTCCTGGGTGTCACACAAGGCCTGTCCAGGGTGACTTTCAGCAGCAGGCGTGGCTGAAAGAGGGTACAGTTAAATTAGCCAGGCACCCTACCCAAGCATTAAGCCATGTTTTAAATAACCTTGACATCTGCGATGGGAAGCATGTGCAGACAGGGAGGGGAAAAAGCAAGAGGACCTTCTGGCCAGCCAAAGAGTCACCACCAGGACACAGCAGAGCCCATCAAAGGGAAACGGTCCCTGGATCAGCCGTGCCCTCCCCGGGCATCTCTGCCTTGCCTCCTTTGCTCTGCCCATTGTAGCAGCCCCTCCATTTGCTCATTCCCAAGCCCAGAACAAGAGGGAGGAACTCAGTAGCATCCCTTCCCCAGGACACCTTCTGTGTCCCAATGGGAGCATGGGAGGAGGACTGGTGTGATGAGAAATGCAGGTTCCAGCGGGGTGTCACGAAGGAACACCATGGGGAAGAACCCCCAAACACCCAACACCGACATCCAAGCTGGGACAGAACTGCTGTTCAGCATGTCCCTATGACATAGCCTAGGGACACTAACAGGGCAGAGGTGTGAAATACCAGCTGTGGACATGCTCTGCTGAAGCATCACCCTGAGGGTCAGCACTGCAGGATGCTCGCCTGAGTCTCAAGCCCTCTGCAGCCACCCATGAGGGGTTCCAGCACCTCTCAACTACCCAAAGACCAAGGGACAGACAGATGGACAGCGTGACCCACATGGGCATCACAACCCACGCAGCCCCACACCAGCTCCAACATCCATAAAGTCTTCACCATCTCAGAGCAAGTCGTGCATCCAGGAATGACCTACAATGATGCCAACGCTGTCCGGATCGGGATGACAACAGACTGGGGGAAACCACCCGTAAGCAACAGCATCCAGAGGATTCCCACCACCGATGCCAACCCATCCTCCGGTGTCATGCTGGTATTGTCCGCACCGGCACTGCTCCGGTGTGTGCGGCTCCTGCCCGGTGGCTTCCCAAGCTCCGGAGCTGGCTGAATGGAAAACTCTATTTGTAAGGAGCCAAGGGAGAGTGAACGGGGAGAAAAGGAGCCTGTCTTGGAAGGGATGGTTTACATTTCTAAAGAAAATGCCAGCGCTCCGGAGAGCCGCAGGGTTCTGGCTACAAACAGAGCCGAAAGGCTTTGAAAATGAACTCGGGGATTTAGGATGCTGGCATTTTACAGAACCTGGCCTGGGGCCTGGTTTGCAGATACAGAGCAGCGGCTCTCCAAGCACGTTCCTGCAAGATGGAAATTGGAGGGTGGGGGGAAGCAGTTGTCTCCCCATCCCATGAGAAAGGCAAGCTTGTCAGTAGTAAACCTCTGCTCTGCTGTGCTGATGCCCCCAAAACACCCTGTGTATACCCAGGGATACAGCAACATGGGGACCTGGCAGCACCCGGGCTATGGGTGAAACACGGGACACCCTTCAGAGCCACAGGGCTCCATCGTGGTGGCTCAGGGATGCTGCGTGAGAGTCCCTTGCTGGAGGACAATCAGAGCAGCACAGGTTGGGGTACCCCAGTCCTGAGCCTGCACATCATCTCCCTGGCTGCAGGAAGGGCTGGGGCTTCTCCAAGGGGAAACCCTTTGATTAGAGTTTATAGAACTGGAGATAACTCGGGAAGTCTCCTACAGCACTGGAGACCATGCGCTCCTCTGAGCTTCCTAAGGATGCTGCTGTGGAGGGCAACACCTCTGGCACCTCTGACCGCCCTTGATGGCCAGTGTTACGGGATCAGGATTTCCTCCCTCGTGCAGGGCTGCAAGCGAGCAGGCGCCAGTAACACAGATACTTCTGCAACAAGACAGGTCTTGGCTCTCCCCACCTCCTGGAAGGATTTTTATCTGCTCTTTCACAGCTTGACAGCTCCAAAAGTTCATTGCTAAAGGCACGCCATCCATTAGCGTTCGCCCCTAGGGACCAGACCCAAAAGGAGAGCATCCATCTATGTCACCGCTCCACCTCCTCCTCCATGCCAGAGATGGGAAATGCTGGCTGGGGAGGGATGGAGGGATGGGGTCTGTGCCAACCGCCTTACCTTGGGGATGAGAGCCGGGGGTACCACCACCAGTGGCTCCGCTGGGGTCATGCTCTTGCCGGCCAGGACCACGGCACCGCATTCGGTACAAGCACCGATGGTCAGCTGCTTCCCGTCATCCACCAGCAGGCTGTTGGGCACACGGAGGGTGTAGAGGAAGACCGGCAGCCTGGCCACTTGAACCGCTTTTAATCCAAGGCATCGCTTCTTCTCCTGCCGGCAGAAGAAGCAGACGAAGGTCTCCACTTTGTACTGCCGGGACCAGGCGCTGCTGGGGTGATGGGAGTTCCTGCCCTCGTGCTGCAGCCACTGCCCCAGCAGGTCATGGTAGCACAGGATGCAAGTGGACACCAGCCCGGTCGAGTCGGCCGGCCTGGCCCTTGGGGCGGGTGGGTAGACTGTCAGGAAGGGGAAAAAGGGCTCTTTCTCCCCAAATCGCCCCGGTGGGTTGACGTTGAGCTGGAACTCTTTGCCAGCTCCCAGCTCCGCACCGCAGATATAGCAGACAGAGGTGGGACCAGGCTTGATGGCAGGGTGGCCGGCCAAGCCACTGGGGTCACCGGCGGAGAAGACCTGGTGGTACCTCCCCAGGAAGCTCTGCACCGAGGTGATGAGCTCCTCGTTGTGGCAGGCCCTGTACATGGCCCAGAGGTCCTGCAAGACGATGAAGCACTTGCGGCAGCTGCTCACCTCCCAGTGCTTGTTCAGTCCCTTGGCACTGGGAGGGCAAGGCAGGAGGCTGATGAAGGGGAAATGCATGGTGTTCTTCGCGTTGCCGTTGATGACCTTGGCCGCCACCAGCCTTGCCTCCTTGCTGCACTCCTCCCCGCACAGGTAGCAAGCCTCGGGTACCAGCGGGACGCCTGCCCCATCCTCCTTCAGCACCCGGCGGCCCTTGGCAGGCATGGCCCCGGCGTTGAGGGGCACCACGTAGAGTCGCTGCAGCACGGGCACGTTGGCCAGCTCGAAGCTTTGCCACTGCTGCATGAGGGAGGCGAAGCAGCAGGGACACACGAGGGTGCTGCCGGCAGGCGAGAGGGGCTGGGCGCCCGGCGGGGGGCTGTGGAGCCAAAGGAAGGGGAAGAAGGGCGCTGGGGAGGTCTTCTCCTGCTTCTGCACGTGGACGCGGTGCTGGGTGGTGGGTGACAAGGGGCTGCCGCAGATATAGCAGGCGGTGCCCGATGCCCAAGTGGGCCGCTCGCTGCCTTCCTCCTCCTCTTCCTCCTCCTCGCTGGTGATGTTGATCTCGCTGTCCTCCGAGGAGCAGCAGGGCGGCCCCCTCTTGCCCGCCGCCGCCGGGGGGGTCCGCGCCGCGCCGCCCGCCCCTTCGGGCTCCGAGAGGGGCTCGGCGTCGGAGAGCTCCGAGAGGTCGGAGCCGGCTGCCGGCCCTTCCTCCCCCTCCTCCTCTTCTTCTTCCTCCTCCTCCTCCTCCTCCTGGCCGGCGGGGCGGCGCGGCGGCGCGGTGGGGTCCCAGCCCGCCGCCCCCCGCCGCAGCCCGGCTCCCCCCGCTGCCGCCGCCGCCGCCGCCTCGCACTGATGGGGCCGCTTGAGCCAGTACATGCGCTTCTCCACCGGCGTGCGGCTGCGCTCGAAGGAGTCCCACTGCTCGCCCAGGAAACAGCGGCAGACGGCGCAGACCAAGGCGCAGCCTTCCGCCGAGACGGCGCGGGCGCCGGGCGCCGGTTCCTGGTGCTGGAGGAAGGGGAAGAAGGGTCGGTGGTCGCGGGGGGGTCGCACTTGAAGCTTCAGCTCTTTGCCGCGGCTGATGCCGCCGCCGCAGATGAAGCAGCAGAGCGGAGGCGCCGGGGGCTGCGCAGCCCCAGGGCCGCCCGCCGCCGCCTCGCCGTTCGTTAACGCGGCCATCAGCCGCTGCTTGCGGGAGAGCGGCGCCGGCGCCCCCGGCCCCGCCGCGCTCATCGCCGCCCCCGGCTCATCCCGCGGCTCCGCCGGACACGCAGGCTCGGGGGGCGGGTTTGCCGGAGCGCTCCCCCCCCGACACCGCCAACCGCCCGCCTCCTCCCGCCGCAGGGAAGGCAACGGGAAAGGAGAAAATGAAATAATAAAAAGAAATTAAAAGAAAAAAAAAAAACAACAACACCCAAATAAAAGACCCAAAAGCGACGGGAAACGCAAAAAATCTCTTCCCACCAAACAACAACAACAAAAAGTTCGGTGCGAAAGTTTGGGTGCCGCTGGCGGCGCGGAGGAAGGGCGGCTGCTGGCCGCCTCCCGGCCCCGGCGCCCCCGGCCCGGCTCCTCCCCGGCCCCCCCGCTGCGACCTGCCTGCGAAAGAGGGGGGGGGCCCGGGGGGAGGAAGGAGCCGCTGCAACACCCCCCTCACCGACAGCGCGGAGGGGACCCCAAGGTGGGGGAATGGGATAAAGGGGGTGGGGGGGATCGATCAGCCCACCCCACCGAGGGGGTTTAACGGGGGCGGCCCGCACGCGTTGCTCCCTCCCACCCCATCAGCGCCGTCCCTTCGGCACTGCACGGCCTTTTGTGCGGCTCCCCCTCCCCTGGGCGGCGTGTTCCGGCACCGAGTCCGCACGGGCAGGACGGAGCCCGCAGGACTCTGCCCTTCACAGCGCTGCCCACCAGCCCTGAACTCAGCGTCCCAACCGCCCGGTGATTTATTTCGCGTTTAAAAAGCCCTGCTGCTGTTCCAGTTCAATACCAGATTCTATTTCCCGCTCGGTCCTAAAATGCTGCATCGCTTTGCCACTCACTGGTAAATAGCTGATGTGTTCCCAGCCGGAGTTGGCTGCGTTTCAGCGACGCATGCAATAATCCCGGTATATCCTTACCTGCCTTGCAGCCTGCGATAAGATTTAATGCTTGTAAAGCACTTTGCTGTCCTTGGACAATAGGCACCACGGAAGTGCAAACTGTACTGAGGTCCAGCCACAATTAAACCTGACTTATTAACCACCCGAGCATCTAAGTCAGCATGCCCACCGGCTCGGCACAGCTCTCCCAGTAAAAACAATATATTAGTAGCTGTAAGGATATATTTAAGCAGTCGTTTTATGAGGAAGCCTGCACACGGCAGTACTGTTGAGTTTGAGTTCATGGGAAGTCACTGCAACATCCCTTGTCCTGTCCTTGCAAAGCACTGAGCCTGTGTCCTGGCTCCTGAGTTAACAGACGGGCTTAAACCACAACAGCCTGTCCTGCTTGAAGGTGCTGTGCAGGGTTAAACCCAAAGAGGCAAGGTTGGTCGTTGCAGTAGGACACAGGGACATAGGGACAGGGGACTGAGAGCCTAAGCCACACATCAGCACACCCTGATGCGGAAAAGCCGCATCGTCCCCGTTCCTCTTCCTCATCACCCCCAGTGTGAGCACAACCCTCACCCTTGGGGCACCCCAGCTACCCCAGTCTTGGGTTGACCAGCCCTTCATGTCATTTCCCACCCGGACCATGGGTGACGGCGTCTGGAGCTCCCCGGCAACTGGCCATGAGATCAAGCAGATTGTGTGACATCAGCTGGAGCGTGGGCAGGGGCCAGGAGGGCTCTTCGGGGACCCGGATCCAGTTTCCACGCAGATGGCTCCGGCAGTAAAGAATCAAGGGGGGGGGGGGGTGGGAGGCGACACACAAAGCGGGGAACACGATACCTTGGGGAGAACGGACTCGATGGGGCTGGGTTCTTTTTTCCAGGGGTTTCCAGAAGACAGCAAGGCCTCGTTTATTTTCCCTTTATTTATAGGCCTGATGTGGTGGTTGCTCTATGCACTGAGGGCACGGGGAGCACGGCATGCAGTGGGATGGCCATGACTCAGATGTTCTTTAGAGGTGCACGTGGTCTCCCAGTGTCACCCCCCTTTTGCCTGGATGGGAAGGGGTAATCCGGGTGGGAGGGGGTCCTGGACCCCCAGGCAGCAGCACCACTGGATCAGGGAACGCTTGTGTTTCCTTTGGGTTTTCCTGGAGCACTCAGGGCTCGGCTGCCCATCCGGAGCTCCCCAGGGGAGCCGCAGCCACCGGCTCAGCCCACCCTTCGAGCGCAGCCGACAGATGCTCTCCCGCCTGCTCCACAGATGGGCGAGGGAACAACGCGCTGCATTCAAGGACCGGCGCTCAGCAGGGCCAGACCCCTCCTTTCCCTCCCCTTCCCCACAACACCAACCCTCCGTGCCACTCTCCGGAGGCGCCGTGAGCCCCCCGGCTCTCCCCCCTCCAACCCCACCCCGGGGATGCAGCAGCTTCCCGGGCCTTGGCTGCGCAGGGACAGAGCAGCTCATTTATCATCCTCTGCCGCCCCTGCCCTGCGGTTGCTGTTTGCAACAGAGGAGCTGGGAGGGAGAGAAGATTTCTCAAGTCAGCCTCGGCAAGAACTGAAAACATATGCCCTGGCGGCAAACGCATCCCTTGGGGCTCGCAGGGATCCAGGCGAGCCTAGCACAGGATTTTCCACCGCGGCTCCCGCCGGCGCGCAGCCCTCCTGCCGGAGACGCCGTTTTAAAGCAACCCCAGGGCTGGGGATGGTGACAGCTCGGGCTCCTCTTCCAAGCCCAGCACCGTGGGGTACAGCGGGATGCGATGCAGACGGAGCGGGATGCGGTGCAGGATGGGTCCTCTCTAAGCTGGATGGCTGCGGGCCACCTTCAGGAGGCAAACATCCTCCCTGCGCCCATCCTAAGACCTCCTTGCTGGTTTGGCACGCACAATTGTCCCTTTGCACAAAGTCAAGCCCCAGGGACAGATGTCCCTTAAAGGCAGGGGTTGGACAGCTGCTGCGTGACTGTGTTGCGTCAGGATATGGTGCTGGTTGTGCAAGGTGCTGTACAAACAGCCCTGAGCGGCCTCATGGTGCGGAGCTCCATTGGCTTATATCGGGTTGGGATGGATTGACAACCAGCTTGCCCAGTGCTGTGGACATCTCTACTCCACTCCCATCCCCATCCCCATCCCCATCCCCAGCACTGCAGGACGGCGCCCAGCAGCACCCATTCACAGCACACAAGCAAGGTGCCACTGTGCCCTCCGGAGCAGGCACGTGCTGCAGATCCCCCCCCATCCCCAGGACCGGGAGGTTAATATGGAAATTACCAACTGCTTATTCCTTCCAGCTGTTGCTGTGAGTCATCAAGTGCCTTAAAGAGCATTTCAAACAACACAGTGCCTTCGAAACAGCGTGACTGTTCCCCTCCGCCACCCCCTCCGGATAATCCTCCACAAGGTCTGCTGTTTGAAAAGGGAATATTTCTCCAAGGAAGCAATTCCCAGCCGTGCGTGGACAGGGAGGAAGAACAGCCGCTGCCTCCCCATGGCGCCTGACCAGGCTCCCACCTCTGCCCATGGGCTCCCAGCATCCCGCAGAGCAAACCCTGGCACGGTGCCTTCACCATCATCCCTGTTCTAAACCCAACGCGGACACGTAAATGCCACCACATTCAGGCGTGGGTGACAATGCCCTCTGTGCCTCATGGGGAAACTGAGGCACGGGGCAGCCAGCCTGAGGGTCACAGTGTCATCTGGTGAGGATGACACTGTGACCACTGTGTGGTCCCTGCGGGACACTGGGGCATTGGCCTGGGGCTCAGGAACCTGAACTCTGCACTGCACAGCTGTATTTTTCTCTGCCAGTTTACTTTAGTCTTTGTTTCGTTTTAAAAGGCTGATCTCTGCACTCAGCGCTGATTTTTCAGATGGAGAAGATAGGGCTGGCTCATGGAAATAGCTGGGATACATCCTTTATCCACTGCTTTAACCTTCCTTTGGACTTTTCGGCTTTCTTAATCGATTGTTTTTTCGCCATTCATTTCTGCTTGGAAAAGCCCAGCCAGGTTTTCTCCTGCTTGTAAACTCTTATTTCCCCCCCGTCCTTTGCATGGCCATGCAGGTGAGTCAGGGATGCTGGCAGCCAAGATCACGCTGGTGTGAGCAGGAACATCCGCCCCTGTGTGGGCTGGAGCCTGAAATAACAGAAAAAGACCCAAAATAAGCTGCACACAGGGACAAGATGCTGTGGGGTGAGTGAATGGGAAGGGGATACAGCCCCAAAACTTGCCCTAAAAGCATAGCCATGGACCGGAGCACAGGGTCTGTGGTGAGGGTGGTCCATGGCTGGGAGGGAGGGATGCTGCTGGGACGGTCCCCATGGAGAGAGGTGACTCTGAGGAAAGGAGAGAGTCCCTGATGGCCACTGCAGCCTGAGCTGCTCTGCTCTGCCAAATGCCTTTGGAGATGCTGCAGCAAACAAAACTGCTGCTTCTGCAGCAGCCAGGGGATAAAGGCACTACAGGGATGTGCTCGGTGCCTGGACCCGGTGGCCGGGTCCAACCAGGAGCCTTAGGACCAGCCCAGAGGTGCACACGAGCACGAATATACGTGGAACAGAACACTCTGCACCGAGTCCCTGCTTGGCCATTGGGTGGTGTTAACCCCATCCTGGACCTCTGTCTCACTCTGGCTGGGCCGAGGCACTGATTCACCCTATGGCACCGTGCCCTGTGAGGCAGGAGGGAGCCACGTCCCCTGCGAGGCATAAGGGCCGAGTTGCTGGGGTGTTTTTAAGAGGGTTTTTTTTTTGCTTTTCCTTTCCAGAATGAGCTGCTCTGCAAATGCCAAGTGCTGGTGCCAAAGGGCCGTGTCAACAAAGAAGAATGAGAGTGGCTGTTAGAGGCTGCTATTAAAAAAGGGTGGAGAGGGGAGCAAGAAGGAGGTGGGGAGAAAGAAAGGAGGAAGAGGTTTGTCAGTGCAAACAGTTTGCACAGAAGGAAGTATTCAGAAGCGCCATGCAGTGCACTCAGTGTCTCACACCACGCAGGGACTCTGCACCCTGTGTCCTTCTGGGGTCCTGGGGCACAAACCCATGCCAGGGCCTTAGCATCCCCCCCCTGGAGCCAGCACAAAGTGGTTTCCAAGCTCAAAGTGTTTTCCCATCCCGCTCAGCTCCTGCTTGGCGACCGAGCTCCAGT